ATGTTCCAAATCACTTGAAATAGAAACAATAAACTCCTCGCGGTCACTCAAACCGGAAAATTAGTCTCTTTCGTTTTTCAGTCTTGATCAAATTTCACCTATCCAGGTCAACTTCCGAACGGATGGGTCTTACATGAATAACGCCGGATCCACGCGAAGTGCAGATATTTCCATGGAGACCTTTTTCAAAGTTCTCAGTGAGCATTATCTCCCCGGGAGCTAGACAAGGGAAGAAAATTGGGATGGAAACGGAATGGATTTAAATAAAAAAACAGAATGAATTTGAATTTGTCTCGTTTCCATCGCGATTTTGCGAGGTCGAGGTTCGACCAATTCATCAGCATCAGCAGTTCCTACCTGGGGAGGTTCACTACGCCCTCCAATGAGGAAAAATAGAATATTTTGATACATGGAGAAAATTATTTCAACTTGTTGGTGAAAACAAAGATATTACCAACCAGCTGGTGAAATTCATCAAATAAATTTCTTACTTCATCAAATAAACTTCTCAGCACGTCTTCGTGTACGAGTGAGACGAAATTTTCACGAGTATCAATTTGGTGGCGCGAGGCGAAGCCGAGGGCTGTCAATCGCACGCGCTGAAAATTTCCGGCTCACATGTGTCGAACAATATTTTATGATACTAGGCCCGATAAGCCGCGATTCCCAGATATAAAATGTTGTATGTCACACGGCGATAAAAGTATTATCTGACTCATGTGATTATAATAGTCGCCTTCCGCTCGGATTGTAAGTCACATTCATTAGATAATATTTTTATCACCTGATGACAAAATGTACTATTTTAATAGTGATGTTGCGTTCAGCGCGTGCCGAGCTATGCTTTTTCTTCAGGGTCCGTAAAACGTCGTTTACGGACATTGTGAAAAAAAATTGTATTCTTCATTCGCTCGAAATAGCATATTTCGTCACTAGGCCGAAAGAAACTTTTCTGGCGTATATGAGTTTGCAGCCCGAGCCGAGGGCGAGGGCTGCAATCATATGAGCTAGAAAAGTTTTTTTTGGCCATATGACGAACAGTATTTTTTGTTATGACGGCCGTAGGCAGAGATTCACGGACGCGGAGCGGAGCGCAGCTCTGTGAAGCGCTGCCTCACGGCCGGAATGACAAAAAATTTTTTTCGTGAGAAGGCCCAGTAAACCGCGATCTAACCGAGCGAAGCGAGGTTAGAATCGCGGTTTACGGGCCTTCTCACGAAAAATTGCATTCATCACACGGTCCAAAAGTATTTTTTGTCATTCCGGCCGTGAGGCAGCGCTTCACGGACGCTCCGCTCCGCGTCCGTGAATCTCTGCCTATGGCCGTCATAACAAAAAATACTGTTCGTCATTTGGCCAAAAAAAACTTTTCTAGCTCATATGATTGCAGCCCTCGCCTTCGGCTCGGGCTGCAAACTCATATTCGCCAGAAAAGTTTCTTTCGGCCTAGTGACGAAATATACTATTCTGACGAATGTAATTATAGGCCTCACCTTCGGCTCGGCCTACAAAGCCACATTCGTCAAAAAATATTTTGTGGACCTTGTGATGAAAATAATTATTTCAGCTTTGTGACAAAAATAGTTACTTTTTGTTGACAAGTAAACGAAATGACTTTTTGGCGCGAAGTGAACGTAGCAGCAGTGACGAACAAGCAAAATTAGGGATTCTCGGAATCGGAAAAACTCGCATTTACAAAGTTTCCACACCGAAGCAAATAGTTATTTTCATCACAAGGTCCAAAAGTATTGCCATAAATAAATTGTCCTCGTCTGTAGGACAAATACAAAATCTCTTGAAAAAAGTTTTTCAAGAAAAAAAAACCTTATTATGAGCCAATTGCCCTCATCTTTCGGACTAGGATAAAATCTCTTGGCGAAAGTATTTTGTTTCTCAATTTTACATATCTTGCTCTTGATAATTTTCGAGCTCTGAGTTGTCGATGGAAGTAAAGACGTACTTTCAAAAGTAAAAATGGACATCTGAAAAAAGTGTTCGTCATTCTGTTCGTAAAGCCTCGCTTCACGCACGCTGCGCGTGCTAAACAGCCGCTCACGAACGTCGTGACAAAAAATATGCTTCGTCTGTGGCGAAAAATGCTATTTTTTTTCTCAGTGATGAAAAAGGTCTCAATCTCGACATATTTGCCACAAACTAATCTCGCAATTATATTTTCACTCATTTCGTTTTACCTAATTTTTATTTGGCTTTCATGCTCACTCCATATTTTCTATATTCAATGAATCTTCAGGATGAATTGATTGCTTATAAGAATAAATATGTGGCACGAAAGTGTTGCGATTTTCCACACTTCCTAATTACATCAATTTCCATTCATTATTTTATAATTTCTGTAGTAACTGATTCGTCCCGGCAGGCGGGGGAAATGTATGTATGATATTCCAGTGTTCTAAAAAATCATTAAAACGTAAAAAGTGACACACATTAATTACTTTCGAATTGCAAAAATAAAGCTATCGTGACGGGAAGCGGAAAGCTTGATGTTATGGCGCTGTAGAAAAGTAAGAATGAAGATGGTTGACCTGGAAATTCCCCAATATTTGAATTTAATGGAGTGAGTGAGTGAGGAGGGAGAGAGGGGAGGGGGTGAATGGTGGCGAAGGGAACGTGGAAGGTCTAAAGCATTTATTCGGCTGTCGAGAATCCCAAAGACAATAAAGACCCTGTCTTGAATGTGGGTTATTGTGATGCCTGAGAATGTCCTGGAAACAGTGAGGTGTATACAAACTTATATACCTGTGTTACCGTAATCACATCGAGATTAGAGGCAAACTAACGACCACGGGCATTAACCATGACGCTCACTTTTACCTGTAGTTGGTTTGTCGACATTTTACACCTGGAAATCATCCTTTCTGTCTTCTCGGGTCTAATAGAACAGAACCTCTCATGAAACTTGTTGGTTGAGCCCAACGAGTGACTCTGACATTTTATATTTTTCTCTAATTGTAAAGAAGAAGAGAAAAAATGAATATCCACTGTTTTCTTTGAGTATTTTTTTTTGACTGCACGGAGAAAAAAATTGGAGAAAAATTACCGAACAAGTCTAGTAATCGTGCAGCGAACTCTATTGTCAGTACTTTTTCTTTTCTAGGGTAAACAGGTCAATTTATGGACGGGGGTTAGTTTCTAGACGAATTCAATTTGAATTGAATATTCCATAAATAAAATGAAAATTGTACTGATTATTTCACCTTTCAATAATATTACTCGTGTATAATCATGTGATCAATGATTTTTTCTATTGGTGAACATTTAATAAGTAAATAAAAATCTGGCCCAGTTGTCCAGATATTAGGGGTTTCGGCTGCATTCAACTATTTCTTAATTTAGTTATTCTTTTTATTATTATTTTCACTTCAAATAATTTTTTTCTGATAATTAAAACATTCTTGAAGGTATGGAATACATCATATCCCCATTTAGGTGATTCTTTTATTTCAGATCCTACCACGAAACTTGAATTTCCCTTAACCGTCCGACAATTGGCCTGTTCACCCTATATAGGGGAAAAACTATGACACGAATAATTTACCGAACGGTAAGGGTAATTTTAGCCGAAACTGTAAGATTTACCCTGTATGCCATCTAAAATTATTCCAGAAAACGTGAATGATTCCTCAATATTGGATATAATTTTTCTCTAACGGAGAATGATTTTTTGCCGAACGCGTTCGATAAAATTTCACTTCCGTTCGTCTTCATGAACTTCAAATGGGTGCAAAAAAATACTCTAAAAAAATACCCGGTGTGGAAAATTTCACTCCGCAGGAGGATAATTTTTGCATCCATAGATGTTTTTTTAACCGAACGAATTGTGAAATATCCTCCCCAAACAGATATTTTTTTTTATTGAATTACTTTAAAAAAATTTTTTTTTGTTGAACTTTTACTGTGCAGGAGGATAATTTTTGCTTCGCAGATGTTTTTTTAACCGAACGAATAGAAAAATATCCTCCACAAAGTATTTTTTCACTGAATTAATATTTCGTTCCACGATTACCTTTCGTATAGTGAAGTAATATTCGCTAGGATTTTCTACGTAATTTTTATCCAACTTTTTTCTTCGTGTACAATTTGGCGAATATTCACACACAAAGAAAAGAGGATAAATTTGAATTTTCTTCGATTTTTGCTTGGAAACTCAACGAGAAAAAAATTGCCATATTTTCTTATAACTTCACTCAATCTTTATCAACTGTTGTCACATACCAACTCTTTCGTAATCGCACTGTATTATCAATGACCTTCTTGAAGATATCGAAATAAAGAAACTGATAACACTCGCCAAAGTCCCTCTCACTCATGAATAAATTTGAATAAAAATCGATACAATAGAAGAAAGAGAAATGAATTGAACGAGTCCCACGATGTATCGAACAAACTAAATCATTCTCCTCCACGCAACAATAACTTTCAACTATGAGTCGACATTATAAGTAACACATGACATCGGGATGATGTGATTATAATTACCTAATTGCACGGCAAGCCTGCGACGTTGTATATGAATTCACCTCTACAATACTACCAGAATACAGTCTCTGAATAATCGACATTATTGCTCCGATAAATTCAATCTTAATCCCCCTTATCACAAATTTTCTACACACGAATGCAGTGTTATCTCCCAATAACTAACGAAGTGACACCGACACGTTAGTTACATCCACTGCTATCGCGAAACTAGCGTTGAAATATCTCTCTCCACATCTGGATTTAACAATAACGCGTCAAGACATTTGTTTGGCTTCGGCCCTTGACGCGAAGCGCTCTGAATACGGAACACCCTCAACCGGCACAAGTGATGTTTTTTTTCCCTCCAATGAGGAATTTAAATCTTGAATGAATATACATTAAAAATCGTCCTTTCCACGATGGAATTCAAATGAAACACTAATGTATTCTATTTGAAAATATTTTGAATGAACTAGAAAGACATTTTGAAATATGGGGAGTTGTTGTCACAAAACACTTACTTTCTCAACCACTTGAACATGCCCATCATCCCCATCATGCATCTGATAATGTAACGTATGACACTGATATGAGTCTTAATAACGCAACTCGTTAACGTGAATAATGCAAATATATTGAAACTTCTGGCAGTAACGTTCTTTGCTGATTCCCGACTCGAAATGATACCGGCACCTTTCCTCGTGGGTCTATGGGCCTGCACTCGTTGCTGGTTAACTACTCGCCGGCGTTGCGAACGGCCCCCACCATTGCTCCAATCGCAGTCCTCGGATTTGTTCACTTCCAACATTTTCTACATCAACCAAGGAAATAGACTCACTTTCTTTCTCTGCATCCGACTTTTTTCCGCAATTAAGAGGCTAGATCTGTCCACTTCAAAATTATGAACTTGATTCTATTGGTAGGCTTCACTGATTAATGAGTTTTAATGTTTTAATGTGCGTAAGATTCAATAAGGAATAGTTTGAATAATATTTGGACCTGTAATTTACACGGCGTCCAATTTCTGCGGACATTGCGTATCGAATAATAATGAACTTACTCGGATTGATACAGTCTGTGCTCAATTTTGGCGGAAGTATTTAAAGGAGTTATAATGCTGACGAAGGCTCGTTCGGACCGCAAGGAAGATTTGGATATTGCCACCTTTTAAATTTTCCAAATAAATTGTGTGAGAAGAATTTGCGAAAAATTCATATTGACTCATATATCATCCAAATTATATTTTTTGTGATACCTGCCTCAAAAGTGTACTTTTTGAAACGATTCAGTGTCCGAAAGGCGGCTGTTTTCCGCACGACGTGCGTAAATTTCTCGAAAACAACCACTTACCCCCACTATCGTTCCGAACAGTGAACACGGCAGGTACCACAAAAAATGGGACGTGTTACACGTGCGCGTGAAAAAGTGGAACTTTGCGTATCAGTAACACAATATACTATTGTGATACCGTTTCCAAAAGTGGACTTTTCGAAACGGGTTAGTGTGCGTAAAACTGTTGTTTTCCGCACGGCATGCGTAAAGTTCAAGAGCGTGCGTAAATCTGCGCTTCACGCACTCAAAATTCACTTTTTGTTACTCAGTGAAGCTTCGTTTCACGCAAGCAGCGCGTGCTAAAAAGCCGCTCACGGACGTCGCGACGATAGTATATTGTGTTACTAGTGCGTAAAGTTCCACATTTTCACACGCACGTGTAACGCATGCTATTTTTTGTGGTACCTGCCGAGTTCACTGTTCGGAACGCTAGTGGGAGTAATGTGGTTGTTTTTGTGCACGCGTGTAAAGTTCAAGAGCGTGCGTAAAGTGAATTTCGACTGCGTAAAGCGAAGCTTCACGCGTAAAGTTTAGCGTGCGTATAATAAAGCTTCGCTTTACGCACGAGAATTCACTTTACGTACGCGTTTGAACTTTAGGCACGCCGTGCGAAAAACAACCGCTTTACGCACACTAAACCGTTTCGAAAAGTGCCCTTTTGAGGTAGGCATCACAAAAAAATATGCATCGTCCCTGTGTTGAAGAAAATTCTTCTGACCAATATGCATGCAAAACTCGTTTTCGGCTCGTCCTGTCATATTCGCTAGAAAAATTGTCTTCGCCACAGTGACGAAATAGTATATTTCGATACGAGTGAGACGTAATTTTTACGAGCGTGAAATTACACGAGCTGAAAATTCCCGTCTCACATGTCTCGAACAATATTTTTGTGATACCTGCCTCAAAAGCGCACTTTTCGCAACGGTTTACTGTGCGTAAAGCGGTGGTTTTCTGCACGGCGTGAAAAACAACCACATTACCTCCACTACCGCTCCGAACAGTGAACTCGGCAGGTACCACAAAAAAGTTTACGGCGGTTTGTATCTTCGGCACAGCTGTAATTGCACGTGGATAGGTCAGTGGTCTTTCCTTCTTTCTCGAATTTCCTAGAAACTCCTTACACTCCCTCGAATTTTTTGGAAACTCCTTGAATTCTCTCGAATTTTCTAGAAACTCCTTGAATTTTTTCGAACTTTCAAGAAACTTCTCGAATTACCTCGAAATGACTAAAATTTTCTACAATTCCGATAGATGGCGCTGCGGATAAGGACCGTTTCCCAAAATAAACCATAGACGTATTCACGTCAAAAATAGAATATGTTACATGTGCGTGTGAAGAAGTAGAACTTTACGCACTAATAATAAATAACACAATATACTATTTTGACAATGATGTTACGTTGAACGAGTGGCCGAATTATGCCTTTTTTGTTCACATGTAAACGAAAAGACCTTTCGTTTATTTTTCGTTAATAGTTTACGTATGGCATTAACAGTTAAGAAGCCTCCTTAACAATAAATCACTAGTTCCACCTTTCCTATCAGTGTAAGGTAGCTGGTGTGAACAGTTGTATTCAGAGCAACCGTGCACATTAGGTGGTATTGTTTGCATACAGTGATGATAACGTAGAACAAATTGATAGAGCGTTCTATTTAAAAAATAAATTGGATGCATGGACGGATAAGTTTTCTCCTCCCACATACATGCTTGATTGCAAAGGGAAATTTACTTCAAACTAATGGATAATGTTGTCCCATTCTCTTTCCTGTAGGTCTATCATTATATATATTATATAAATGCTATGTACTATTGTTCATCGTCGGGTAAACCGGAGTATACTCACCGCAACATCATCGGTACATGACAGCAGTAACTCTTGGAGAGTTATTTAACACCGAAAGGAATGAAATATCTGCGTATTTGAAAATGGCTTAATAGAGAATTAGAGAGGGATATTTGTTAGCTGTGTGATGATAATTTATATAAATAAATTCATAACGCAGGGCATTAAACTTTAACTTCTTTTCTTTATTGCTCTCACACGGGAAGAAATATCTGTACTCTAGGAAATGCTCCAGGACAGATTTCTAGAAATATTCATGTGTTAGCAACATAAAAGTGACGCAATTTGCATCTTTGGAAAAATTATGGTGTTACACGAAAACAATTATGGTGTCCTCAAAAATATTTACGGTGTTGCACAATAATTTTTCCAAGGCTGTGCTAGCACATAAATTTTTCTAGAATAATTTTCTCCGTGTGGTACTCTTTATGTCGATTTATTTTTGAACGCGTAATTTCATCAATTTGATTATCTGAAATGTATCTGAATAATTCAACACTCAGAAACCAGTGTTTCACGTCAACATCTTCGATTATCTTGAAAGTATAAACAAGAATTAAAAATACTTATACTAATGCACGGAAAATAATGTCAAATGTTTCTGATGGTAATTTAACTAACTGAAGATTTGAAAATGTCTATAGTAGCAGAGTAACGGGGGTTCAAAATATCACAGAGTTGAACAATTAAGTAGAATAGGCATTGAAGATTTAGGTAAGAATGGAGTGTCTATCGGTCGGGTGATCTTAAGGTCCTTTCATTTCCTGTTTCACGCAGTACTTAAAAGCTTCCCATCCCTCGCCTCTTGGTTGGGACTGAAAATAATATAATAATGAAGAATTAATTATCAGGAAGGCAGAACAATAAGGTATAAGGTTCCTGTGAACTCACCTTGGATCCACGGTGCAGTCTATCCTTCATGATGGCAATAAATTCTTCGTAGGATAATTGTCCATCACCGTCAACATCGAAAAGAGCGAAGACTGTATCGACTATGTGCTGGGAGATACTGGCGCCTGTGCAGATTTTCACAGCTCGAAGAAATTCGTCTAACGTGGCAATATTTAAAATTGAGAGCATCAGATTGATTTGTTTTTCTTGTTTTTTGAATTGTGATTAAATATCATTTTAGAATCCATCAATTTTGTATTGGGGGGGAAGAGAATCTAGAAGAGAAGCCATAGATTACGTTGAGTTGGCATCCCGAGTCGAGGATTTGGTTCTGATTGGACGTACACAGGTCTTTCAAGATCTCTCCAGACCTAGATGGACCTGGTAAGTCCTAATCAGTTCTGCGACGTACTTTTCCAGAGACCATTCGAATCCTCAGTTCTTTTCGGTCCTGAGAAGTCCTCCTCGATGCTACCGAGAACGCGTGATTTTACGAGCGGGTGAAGGGGAAGGCATGTATGCGGAGGGTTGAAATTTGTAGCCAACGAGGAGACAGGGTTGCAGAATATATTTTAGCCACCCTCATCTCCCCGTTTGCAGGCGGTGTTTAAATAAAAAATAGTGAACGTTGATTCTGTATTTATTGACCCCCTGATGCCAATGAAACCCTCGGAGGTGACAGAAAAGGGAAAAAAAAAATTTCATTTTCACGTGGGTCAAGGGTGAAAGTCGTTTTTCGCCAAAATTGAATTTTTTCGCCAAATGAAAGTTGATTCTGTATTTTCTAACAATTCTGATGCCAATGAAACCCCCGAAGGC